ACATTTTTAAATTAATTTTTTTTAATTATCTTGCAATATTTCTTACAAACATCAATTCCGTACTCCAATGAGGACCATTTCAACTCAGGTTTTGTCGTTTTCCCTCTATGTTTAATCTGTTAAAACGCTACGTGTACAACATTAGTTTTTGCTTTTGTTTATCAAATTGTCAAGATTACCTACACACACATTGGAATGACATTTCCTTCTATTTTGTTCTGTGATGCAGTGGCCCAATGAGGCCCTTAGTAACAACCATTTGTGTTGAATTATTTATTACATCATTACGTAGAAATTACAGACTTTTTCGTTAGTCCAAGTAATTCTATTCACTTCTCTAAACTGATTACTGTGAAAAATATTCAACTTAAAGAGTACAAGAGAAAATGGAATGAGCATCAGCAGAAAACTTTACACTTTGCTTATCTAAAAATGGAATATTATCATTAACATCAAAACGTCTTAGTATTATGAGATCTTAAATACGTAACAAATAATAATAATTTTATTGAATTGCTTATTATCATATGAAAGTGATAAATTTAAAATTAAAAGTAATATTTAGATATTAATATATAAACATTGTTTAAGGTTTGTTTGCTTATTTCAGAATTTTCGCACAGATTTACACAAAGGACTATCCGCGCATAGCCGTTCTAATTTATAACTAATAGACTAATGGAAAGCAACTTGTTAACAGCACCCACCGCCAACTCTTGGCTGCTCTTGTTTCACCAAATAATGGGATTCGACCGTTACTCTTTTAATGCATTCACAAACCCAAAATGTTGAGCATGGTTCTGTGGCAACGGGACGCGAATTAATTTAGTAGCTGTGCATGGATTTTGGCACAGTATATCTATCCGTCTTTGCTGTAGGCTTCAGTGCTCAGTGCTTGAATGGCTTCGAAGAGAAACTTGGCCAGTAGGGGATGAAAAAACTGATAAACTCTCTCCTTCTCTTTCAAGAATCAACATAAAAATAGGAGGAGTAGAGTTGGCAGTTTGTTTTTTAGAAATTGAGTTTTAGCAAAGATTGGCTTTTATTTTTCTCAGAACAAAGGTTCAGAAATATTCACTTTTCAAAAATAACAATGATTCTTCTGTTTTTGTTATATCTGCATGCGTTTGAATGTATTTTTTATTGGTTTATGGAATTTAGCTTACGATTGTTGCAATCCAGTGGAAAATGCCAAACTAAGCTCCTTAAAAAGTTTATTTTGTTGGTTTTTCTATATTTTAATATATAGAGTCCAGCAAGTGGAAGTACATAGACAATAATAATGATAAAGTCAACAGAAAATGTCAATGGTTTTTACTTAAATGTTGTTCAGAAATTGATCAGATATGATACGGTTTGATCTTCAGCGCGAAGAGGTTCCAGTAAACTTTAATACTTTTTAAAGCCACAACAAGGTACACAACATTTCCATTGTCATCGTAAGTTTCTTATAAATATCCACAGGATAGGTAAAGAGGAAAGTTTACGAGAATGCAAGGAGATAATGGTTTAACCTATGCTCTAAACCACATGTCAGTAATTTCAGTGCGCACCTTTTGCAGATTTTCATTGGACAGAAAATCTTTCTTTGTATTTTCTCTATCTGTTAATAAACGCACCTAAAACGTTTTAACTCAAAGATCCAGATAAGAAATTAGATAAGTAAGTAAAAGAATAGTATCCCATATTGCATTATTCATGGTAAGGTAAAGGCAGAAAAGTTAGTGGAATGATTAGGTAAAGGTAATATGTACCATGTATATCTAATAGATGACTCTCAGAAGAATCTTCCTCGTTTTAATAGTCTAATAAACTATTAGTAATAATATAAAAGGAGCTCACGATGTGAGCGAACAATTTTCATCCTGGATCTAGTTCAAACAAAGGAAAAAAACGATGTGGAAATAGAATATTCACCGGTGCTCTTTAATTTGTCGCTGTCCATAACTTGCCAAAAGTTCCTCCCAAGTCTGGTAAAATTAAGAAATGTGAGACTTACTGATACTACTTAATTTGTGTTTATCCATAACCTGCTAATCGTTCCTCCTAAGTCTGGTAAAACTCAGAAATAGAAGACTCACTGATACTATCTTATCTGTGCTTAAACATAACCTGCTAAACATTCTTCCAAAGTCTAGTAAAATTCTAATTAACAATGTTAATACATGCTGCAGCAGTCGATATGATTTTCTTAATATATTGGAGCATGTGCATTATAAGGGAGAACCTCTTTAAAATGGGGGTGGGGTAAGTGATTACCAGCTCATAAATTATAGTAACTGTAGACGAATATTTAAGCTTCACATGAAGTATCGATTTAGTATTTTTCTTTTATTTACTGAGTAATGTAATCTCCTGAATCCCACCAATTTCTGGGTGACAACATTTCCTGAGAACGTTCATCTCCTGAATGCAATCATTTTTACAGAAGTATCAACTCCTGCATTATATTAACTTATGAGTGCCATTTAAAAAAAAATATCAACTCCTTTTTTCTACCTTCTTGTGAGTACCTATTATTTTGAGAAATACCAACTTCTCTTTTCCATCATCTCTTGAATGTCATCTTCGTTTGAGATATATCAACTCCTGATTGCTACTATTTCCCTAATACCACCATATCCTAAGTACCATCATCTCCTGAAAATGTTATATCCTGAGCGCCGTAATATCTTTTTAATTGATCATTTAATATGTGTTTCCTCTTAAACCTTATATGAACCTTGTATGCGTTAATAAAGTAAATTCGATAACTCAGAGGTTTCCTCTAATTACAACAGAATCAAAACTTTCATCTTTGTGAATGAAAAAACAACTTATTATTTAGATTTTTGCCTATAAAGTCTCAGGAAGGCTGGACACGATGATTTTTAGAATATACAATATAAATACGATAATTGGAGGACTCACATGTTAACTTTAGTTTGTTATTTTTCTCGTTGAGCTACGATGATTGGTGTTTTTCAAACACACACATTGAATATAATGGAGAATGAAGAGAAATACCGTTATTGGTTATTTTCGGCATTTCTTTTCTCCATTATATTCAGAGTGTGTTTGAAAAACACCAAACATTTCCTTGTATATTTCAATGGCAACTAGGCATTTAAAATATCCAAATTATTAATGAATGATTCAATTAATTTTCTAACAAAAATTATTTGTCACTGTATATTGTTAAGTTCATTCATTAGTTGTAGTAGTAACAATACACTGCAATATTTACGATAACTTATAACTAATGATTTGGCTTTTTTTAGCTATCCATGGTAAAATTCGCTATAACCAAATGTACTTTTCTTCGTAGGTTGTTCGATACGAATCTTTAAAATAAAGAGCAGGTAGTTTAGTATGGAAGTACATTATGCTAATATAATAATAAATTGGCAAACAACGATTTATAAGCATAATGAATAGTGTATATTTTTTGGGGGAACAATGGTACCGATAAATTACAGCATAATGATGCAAATTTGAAAAATAAATGTGCACAAAAAGTTGATTGTTTTACCAGTTTTTTCCTTTTTTGAAAATTAGTGGCATTTTATCTTACTTTGCATTATTGATGGAGACATTTTTAACGGTGCCACATTATTACCAAATACATATTTACCGATGTTATTAGTACTGAATACATATTTACTGGTGTGATTATTACCGAAGATATTTTTACTGGTGCTACTTCTTTCTGGAACTATACCCAATTAGTTGTTGGTAGAAGAAGAAATATATATATATATATATTATTTTTTGCAATAGCTCCGTAGTAAAAGAAAACCAACTTTATTACTTTAAGTATATATTACCTTGTTCTGTAAAGCTTGAAGACCTTGGAAATGATCCAGTCTGAAAGCTTTTAGTGACGCGTGAAATAAAGTACTTCACCAATCGCTTCTTCGTGAGTGATGACGTTACATTTTCTTAGTAGTCGGAGTTAGCTATCAGTGAGCTGAAGTAAAAAGTGAAAGCTGAGACATCAACACATCTACTGCCCTGCTTCATTGAACAAAGAAACTGCTATAATTGCGAACTCTTTTATTAGAAAAATGGGGCAAAAGTTCGGGTTGTGTGGAATTGTGCGAATCTGTTTGAAGTTAACGTCTCCTTGATGTAAAAAAAAACAAAAAACTTAATCGTGTGACTGTTTTTTTAGGTCGCAAACACGTAATGATGAATATACAACATTTAAGATTTTTTTTCTACTCAGTCCTTAAAACTAATTGAAAGATTTACTAATTTTGGTTTAGTATGAGAGTGAAATTTAAACACAATAACCTGCTCTACAGCTGGTTGGTCCTCGAAGTGACGTCATGCTGCTGTGACCTGATGTCTGAAGAAACACGCGCCAAAGGGACAAAAGCTCAGCCCTGCTCTGCGCGAGGTATGGTTCAAGAGGCAATACATTGAACTGCCTTCGTTCTACGTGGCGTGTTAACATGAGAACCAAAGTCCTTGCGTGCTCTGTATGATAAGTAAAGACAGGGTGACCAGCGATGTGACTTCACCTCAAGATGCCGAGGATGCGGAAGAGAATTTGGATTGTAGTTGTTACCTTTGTTATAGGGATTTCGGCAGACGTTAGTAAGTAATATACATTAATTCAGCGTGGTTTAACATTTAATGATAGTGTTCTACAGGTTACATATTTATAATATTGATGGTTACAGTTTACTCAGGTTGGAAAGGATACGACGGTTTCCTTTCATGATCTATTTGCTGAATAAACAATCATAGCCTTTTTTGGCTTTTCAGAGCACACCCACATTTCCTTCGACTTTCCCAGTTTACGTAGCAGGGATAAGTTAAACAGTTTGTTAACTGCATGTCTCTATGACATTACCTCTTTCTTGAGTTATTGTATTCAGTATTTTAACTTATAAGTAGAAATTCATAGCCTTTGATCTCGTTAAATTAGAAAAAGCAGTGTGAATATCCAACAGCTGAGTATTGTATAACTATATACATGATCAGTGTTTTCCCCCAGAAATTAAAATTAGAGGGTGTGTTCGAATTTTTAGGGAGTGTGAGGGCAGAAGGGAGAAGGTGGGCTGTTTGTTACCGTATTAAATACTAAATAATCTTTCACGGCCACTTTATTAGGTAAATAACTTCCGTAATTAGCTGTCAATACTATTTCAATTTGCTGTTAGAAAAATATCATGTATCGATGAAAACAACAAAGTGCCAAATCATATTATACAACTAAATTTTCAATCAACAACCAAATGGAATTTTTTTCCAAATAGAAACATTTTAAAACAACTAAATCTAGTTAGAAAACGACTAAAGTGGCAGCACTTCATATGACAAAGTGTTCACTGGGGGTAGGGGATGATGAAAAAAACTCAGGTGGATGTAGATAAATTCCTCTACATGATTATATTATCTGGTTGGATATATATATAACTTAAAAAACAAGAAGCTCAACAACCTGAGCATTTTTTTGGGGGAAGACCTTCCTTCTTCAGGGGGGGCTGTAAATATAACTATGTATGATGTATATTTATCAATTAAAATATCTAGAAGTAAAGTATAAATTGTTTAACATTGTACGTGTTGTGGGAATGATACTGTACGTGGACTTAGAATATGTACGGGTAAATGACATCGGAGATTTTTTGAGCAGGATACTGATAATGTCTGGAAATAGTTCAAATTTGAAGCTGGTAGCACCAGATTCTATTTGTTCTGAAGATAAAATTGCCAGATTCTGTTTGTTTTGAAGTTGGTAGCACCAGATTCTATTTGTTTTGAAGCTGGTAACCCAATATTCTGTTTGTTTTCAAACTGATACGTATTAATATTATACAAAAGATAGTGTTTGTGTTGCAGTTTATTTAAAATCACCAAAATTATCAGGTTTCACTTTGAATTTATGTAATTTCAAACATCAACTTAAAGTGTGGGCTATGCAAGTTTTGTTAGCACCTTTCCAAAATTGCGTTCTTTAAAAGTTCATGTTGAAACGCAGATTATGTAAAAGTGTTGTTTAGCACTGTGCTAAACTGACAGTATGTAAATATTATTCAACACATGCTAATCTGTGGTTTATGTAAATATTGTTCAGAACCTTGTTAAACTGTGAGCTATGTAAATGTTGTTTACCATGTTAAACTATGGGTTATGTAAAAGTGTTGTGTAGCACGTGTTAAAATATGGGTTATAGGAGTGTTCAGCATCGCCTTGAACTGGAGGTGTCGCAAAGGTTGTTCTTTATCATGTTAAACTATGGGTTACCTAAAAGTACTGTTCGGCACAATGTTAAAGTACGGGCTACCTAAAAGTATTATTCGGCACCACGTAAAACAATGGGTTACGTAAGTGCTACTGAATACCATGTTCAACTTACAGTTGTATTTATCTGTCGTAACTGGTCTTCAATGCAATGTGGTACTGACTCGGACGTTTATTTCATTTTAGACATGTTGCGATACTGTGATCGGATGAATTCAATTTAAAAAATTAATTTCCAATTATGTCTTCCGGAATGGTGGATAAGATATCTATAAGTATATATTTGTTATGTGTAAAGCATCCGTTTGGAACTATTTACAAGTTATTAGCGGTTGAAAAAAAAATCTAATTCTTGCAATGTTTTATTTATTTTTGTTTTCTATGTCGCAAATAATACTGAAACCATTTCATATTGCATCGTTTTTAAGCCTGATGGCAGGACCTCTCCCTGTCAGTATAGCTAACAGTAATATTAATTTATTTGTCAGAGTTTCTGTTGTTTCTTATGCTTACTTAACTTGTTGGGTTTAAAGAAATACATATCTTTCTTCTGATACTAAACGATAAAGTAAAAAAAAGATGAAACATTTTATTTGTATATATGCTCCAGATTTTATATAACTTTAGAAAAGAATGCTTATGTTACTAACGTTTTTCAATTTGACAGGAATCCTTTTATCTAGATCATAAATAAAACGATTACCGGTCTCTTGGGAGATTGACGCAGCCAATCATACTTAAATCTCCTATTTGTCAGGAGACAATCGTATAGTAATCAGAAACTAGAAACTTCGTTTTTGATTATACGAACGTTATTACGCCGTTTAGTTTTATCGCGTAAGCGGCTTAGTACAATTACACACGTATATTTATGTGTATTTGTCTAGTTTCGGTATGCGAAATTGTGGCGAATAAAATAACTGGTGAACGCGACGTATTTACTCTACGAAAGAATAACTACAAGAGTCATGAACTTATTGTTGAAATAATCTCTCGTATCATCTTTAAAAACGAAATCACTACTGCTTCACCTCCACGGATAGATTATTATACTGCCAAAAATATAAATCGTTATACACACTAATTATAAATGTGGTAAGTTAGAAACAGGAATATTATTGAATAAATTAATGAATAGCTGCTAGAATTCTAGATATTTGTCTGTAAGGTAATGACTCATAAGAGGCACTTGTCGTGGGATGAATTGGTTACCGTACTGAGCTGTGTACTTAATAATTCAAACATTGATCTACGTACACGTTTTTTAAATTATGTAGAGTCCTATCACTCAGAACTGAAAGTTTTAATAGAATGTGAAGATTCCTCGGTAATTAAAAGCTGCACGTTTCTTAAAGACTACCGTTCTTTGCAGACTATACAATAAGCCGTATCACGACTGAATGAGCTCTGATCAACGGATAAAGTTGTTTTCAAAACGATTGTTTAAAAAGAAAGTTAAAATAAACTTCCAAGAAAGTACAGCCTAAGTATTGTTTGATTTATTTAAAATTGTGTAAGTTTTGCCTTTTAATTTAATTCTTATCTGGGTAAAATAATTTAAGATATGGTCGTAAGATCTCTTAGTCATTTTTTAACCAATATTTTAAGCTAGCTAAAATTAGTAAGGCTCAGATTTGGGTACCTTTTATAAGTATTCCAAATTGTTCTAATCCAATTATTATTAAAACTACTCAATTGCCCTAGGGTAAAGTATCATTAGCCTCATAAAACGTTGAGATTGTTTATATAACTGACCTCCTAATTAAAATACATATCATAATATACATTTTTAATGACACAAATAATTTTTTCACTGTCTTTCTTTTGGTATGTTCACGAAACTGGAATTACAGAATTGTGATACACTACTTCCTCTAACTAGTTTCTACATCCAATACTCACGTCACGCTCATTTTTCTACATTTCGAATTTAATCATATGCACTTATGTCCTCTCGGAATTTTCGGGTTGTCTAACTTCTATTTGCTGTTCTTGTTTTCTTACTCAAAATTCTAAAACTACAAGCCAACAAAGGTAAGAAAAATCTGTATATATCTGTTCGGTTGAACTGTCTCACCTGGGATACACTTGTATACAAAACGTATGTTACTCTTCACTGCTCAACAGATTGGGTGAGCTGAAAAAACAACATAGCTAATATGTACCATCTTCAATCAAAGTCAAATGGATACTTGAATATAAAGGAATTGGGTTTAAAATAGAATGATACTGTATTAAAATTTTTGTATTTAAAACTGTTAGACCTGATTCAACCAAGACTTCATTACGTAATAAAAGAGAGTTCTTATAAGATAAGAGACTACATAATTTTTGTTTTGAAAGACAATTTCTTGGAGGGCAAAAAGTGTATCTACTTTATTTTATTAAATACAAACATGAGAAAGAACAAAAGCGAGAAATTAAAAGGAAACTTTATATGTCAGGAACAACAATGTTTCAATGAAAACTGTCTAAGTTTGATAAATTACATTTTTGTCACGTGATTGACGTGATTTCATAGAAATTTTTGTGTCTTTTTTTCCTTCTATATATTGCCCAAAGCAATATATATATATATATATATATATATATATATATAT